AATTCACTAAGCGGTATCCTACCGCATCCGAGTATGCAGTAGGTTACCGCTTAGCATTTAAAAAAAAAAAACCCATGTGAATTCCCCCCTGAACCATACCATGGCAGTGCAGGTAGGGCGTGTGCCCCTACCCGGAAATGCAAAATCATGTATATATACGTGATTTTGTGCACCCCTGCTGCCCTGTAGCAATATATCTGTTAAGGGCAGCGGGGATGTGGTTAAGAAGTCTGTGCTCACAGCATACACTTTTATTTTATAACATCAGCATTGTAATAGCAATACAAACAATAGTTATTTTTGACAAACCAATATAAGTGTAGGGCTCATGTACACAGGGCATTTGGAAAACTCTTTTGAATGATGGAAACTGACTGCTGGAAAACGTAGGTTAAAAAACGTCAGTTTAGCCGCGTTTGCATAATGTGTTTAGCCGCGTTTATGCACTTTTGCATTTAGAAGCATTTTTAAAAGATAACTGCAGGAGACCCTCCCAAATGCCCAGAATGCACTGAAAAATAGTAAATTCACTAAAAAGGCTACAAAAATACAGCATGAGTTATTTCATCAAGTCATTCGGTATTTTAGCAGTGAAAAGCATGCATTAATGTTTTAGCTGTCAGTGGGATTCCCCACTGACAGCTGAATGTAAAAGAAAGAATTGCTGGCAATTAAAAAATAATACAAAAATGGCGTGGGGTCCCCCCCTCCTATCCATACTAAACCCTTCGGGTCTGGTATGGATTTTGAGGGAAAGCCCTACGTTAAAATAAAAAAAAAAAATTGCGTGGGGTTCCCCCCAAAATCCATACCAGACCCTTATCTGAGCATGCAGCCCGGCAAGTCAGGAAAGGGGGGGAGCATGCGAGTGCAAGCGCCCCCCCCCCCTCCTGAACCATACCAGGCCACATGCCCTCAACATGGGGGGGTGCTTTGGAGTAGGGGGAGCTCCCCCCCAAAGCACCTTGTCCCCATGTTGATGGGGACAAGGGCCTCTTCCCCGCAACCCTGGGCTGTGGTTATGGGGGTCTGCAGGCAGGGGGCTTATCGGAATCTGGAATCCCCCTTTAGCAAGTGGGCCCACAGATCCCGCCCCCCCACGTGAATGAGTATGGGGTACATGCACAGCACAGTCATCCAGAGCAGTGTGCTTACGGTGAAGCACCAACACACTACCCCCCAGTAAAACGCAGTTAACTCTTTGATCGGCCCTCATGTTAACCTCTTCCTGCCCAGTGCCATTAGTACAGTGTCAGTGCTTTTTTTTTTTTTTCAGTATTGGTGTCACTGGGGATGTCAGTGACACCAAGTCAGTTCCCCCCCAGTGTCAGTGTTAGTAAAAAAAAAAAAAATTCAGTATCTATACCACCATTTGTAAACGCTGTAACTTTGACGTAAACCAATTACATGTAGCAGAATAAATTTTGGCCTAAATTTATGATGAAATTTGATTTTTTGATTTTTTTACTGGACATGTTTAATAGCAAAAACTCAAAAATATTGTTTTTTTCTCAAAATTGTCGGTCTTTTTTTTTTTTATAGCACCAAAAATGTAAAAAGCACAGGCAATCAAATACCACCGAAAGAAAGCTCAATTCGTGGAAAAAAAGGACGTAAATTTCATTTGGGTGCAGCGTTGCATGACCGCGCAATTGTCAGTTAAAGTAAACACAGCGCCGTAACACAAAAAATGGTCTGGTCAGGAAGGGGTAAATCCTCAGGAGAGCAAGTGGTTAACAAACCCAGGTATCAATAACAAAGCTCAGGCTGGGAGCAACCTGGGAAATTTAGATTAGAGACGCTCCAGCAAAAATTGCAGAGTCCCTCTAATAGTTTCTCAACAAAATGAATGCCAGCTTGAGGTTGAAACCTAGAGATTCTATCTTTAACCCCTTTATGCAGCAGTAACTTATATGTGCAACAGCAAAAAGCTGGGCTTTAAAGCCCACAGCACACATATGCAATGCGTGGCTGGCAATGTTTATGTGTAGGAAGTGTGTCCCCTGCGCACACTCAGCACAAAGACAAATATTCAGACATCGGAAGCCAGCCAGCAATCCTTCCCACCCTCCTGGGCGTTAAGAACTTTTAAAAGGGACAAAAAAGATGGAGGGGAAGGGGTTAACTCAGGAAGAGAGAGAGTTATGCTATCTTTTAGGCTCCATGCACACGGAGCGTTTTAATAATGCTGGTAACGTTAGCTGTGTAAAGTCAAGTTAAAAACGCTAATTTTTTCTGCGTTTTTGGATTAGTGTTTAGCCATGTTTTTCTGCCATGTTTTTTTTTACACAAAAAAACTTCTAAAAATGCTGGTTTGCCACGTTTTACCACGTTTTTCTGCATTAGAGCATTTATACAGCGAAAAAACTCCTCTAGAACCCTGTCACGATCGTGGCGTCAGACCCCAGACCTTCTCACCAAACTCGTGACCGAAGGACTAGCCGATCTAAAACCGCGATGTCACGTGCGTATCAATGCCACACCCAGCTGCACCCTGCACAATGATTTTCCAGCTAATTGGACCACAATCGATGTACCGGCAGCCTGAATCGATTGTTACTGGGTCAGGTTAATTACACAAATAACCCTTCACACTGCCACCACCTCCTTTTTGTACAGAGAAAGAGGAAACTCGGCAATATCAGCTAAAACTCTATAATGGTTGAGATAATCATCTGCATAATAGGGTCACCGAAGGCTGATTATGCAGAGGGTTAAACAAATAAAGTAGCGTTCTCTTTAGAGGCAGGAATTCGTAAATTGCAATAAAGCGCTATAGAAACAGTTCAACACTTTCAGAAGGAAAGATTTATTACTAAAAGGTCAAACGGGTGCAATAAAAATATTTACAGAAAAAGATGTAACTAAGATATATATATATATATAAATATACAGAGACTAGCAGCACAGCAAAGAGATATCAGAGAGAGGTGAAAGGGTTAAGGTACTTGCCAAAGTCCTGGGTTAGCAGATCCAAGTTTCAGAGGGAAAAGGGCACGGGTCTCCCCAGGTGGTACTGATGTTTAAAATGGGAGACGTCTTCAACTTCACTCTCTTATGCCTGACAGCCTACTTTGTAGTTCCCTGGCAGGGGGGGTGTCTCTGAAGTCAAGGACCAATACCCCGTTTAGGTCGTGTAGGTATGGGCGGATACCTCAACTAGAGCCAAAATCTCCCGCAACTCATATTTTGGCCCATAACTTTCCATCTGCACCAGTGACATTCAACCCGCAGGTAGATTATTAGGCAGATACGTCTGAGGATTGATTAGATATGAATTATGAAATTATACGCTGAACGGTTCACAAGATCTATTTTTCGGCTTTCCTATGTATTTGAGATAAGGCGAGTGGCCTACCAAACTGTTCGCCTTCTCGTGGCCAATCTGACGATTTGTCCGGTTTTTATGTAAGTCTCTCATATTTCAAGATATGAGACATAAGGAAAAAATGGATTTTTAACAGAGGTTATCAGGTCGTGTTTCCTGGGAATGTTCTTTGAACTCCAGGGAAAGCTTGCCTTATCTTATATGAGGTGTTAAATTGCACAGGTTCTTTGGACTGCTAGACCCAGTCTCAGAGAGATGTTTTATAGCTCTGCGCTCCCTGCTGGCTTTAGCCTGCCAGTGACCCACAACCAGATGTCACTGTGGCTGAACAATGAGGGGGACAATGAGGGGGAAATATGTTTGTCAGGATGGTTAACCCCTTTGCCAAGATGAAGGTTGAAGCCAAAATGGTTGAACCGCGTCCATCTCTGGGTATACGCTGTTACAAAACCCACTAGTTCTGGGGGGTTTTTTCCAGCCAAAAAACGTCCCTGCCAAAAAACGCTGATTAAAGCCTATGTGTGGATGAACACATAGGATAACATGCTGGAGAGTGTACTGGCTGTATAAGGACTTAAAAGTAAACAGTTTCAGAATGGCTGAGTAATGGAGTTGGGGTAAGTTTCCAAACATTGACAGGTTGGTAGTAGTCTCAACAGCCCTCACATTACTACTCCACTTGTTACAGGTCTTGCTAATGCCAAACTGTTCAGTAACTATGCTTTGTTGAATTCTCATTAAATTCTTATGTAGAGAACAGCTGAACATAAATACACTTTATGCTATATTTAAAGCGGAGTTCCACTCAAAAGTGGAAGCTCCGCTTATTTGCCTCCTCCCCCTCCTCCACTGCCATATTTGGCACCTTCTTTGGGAGGGGAGTAGATACCTGTTTTTTGAGTTGAAGTGCGCCACGGCGAAGTGAGCCAGAAGTTCAGCCCCTTCCTCCTTTCTGGAGTCTCCTGGGAACTTTCACAGGTCCCAGAAGACTGCCAGACCAATTAGGAAGCGAATATGCTCAGTTGGCACCAGGCTATGAAGCCACAAGCTGTTACAGCCTGGTGCCCACAGTTGAGTTTTTGTAGCTGCTGACTTTTAATAAACACAAAAATGGCCGGAACTCCTCTTTAACTCTCAAAAAGACTTGCCATAATTCTAATATGGCTCTGCATTACAATCTAACTTGCTCTTTTCACTTTAACAGAAATGATTTTCTCAAGGAGATAAAAATAATGTCTAGATTAAAGGATCCCAATATAATTCGACTACTGGCTGTATGTATTACCGAAGACCCACTATGCATGATTACAGAATACATGGAAAATGGAGATTTAAACCAGTTCCTTTCTCGTCAGCCAGCAGATAGAGAACAGTCAAGTGCCAGGCTGAGCATCAAGTAAGAATGTTATGATTGTTTATATGCTTACAAAACTTTTTTTTCTAGCTCTGGGTATGATCTGGTGGCTGGTGAATTGTATTACACTATATGTTTTCTAAGTGCATTAACGTGTAGCACTTATTATTTAAGTCATGTCCTACATGGTCAGGTACTCTGTTTGGGAATGTTTAAACTTTTCTATCCAAAGTAATGTTGCACCTCTTCTATGAAAGCAACCAAATCTTTGACTGATTGACAAAATACATGTTTTCCAGCTACTCAGACCTCAGGTACATGGCTGCACAGATTGCTTCTGGCATGAAATACCTTTCTTCCCTTAACTTTGTACATCGAGACCTTGCAACAAGGAATTGCCTTGTTGGTAGGAATTATACAATCAAAATTGCTGATTTTGGAATGAGTCGGAACTTGTACAGTGGTGATTATTATAGAATCCAGGGGAGGGCTGTCCTCCCCATACGATGGATGTCTTGGGAAAGCATCTTAATGGTGAGTGAATGCAGCAGTTTCCATTTTATAATTCAGTGAGCAAGACACAATTGTCACCATGTACTAATACAGTATAATGCTCATCAATGATACACCAATAATAGTGATGGGCCAAACACCCACATGTTCGGTTCGTGGTTGAATGTTTGAACCGAATGAACATTCGACTGTGAACTTCGAACTCAATGCATGTCTATGGGACTCGAACTTGTAAATTCAAAAGTGCCCATTTTGAAGGCTTATATGCAAGTTATTGGCCATAAAGGGGGTATGAGGGCTCAGGTACTGCCCTGAGGCACATGAATCAGTGAAAAAAAATTTCAGAAAGTACAGTTTTTAAAGGGGAAGTCATTTTTCATTGCTTAAACTAAAGAAAAAAAAAGAAAAATTCCTTTAAATATCATGCTTGTGGGGGTCCCCTTAAACTACCTGCAAAGTTGCACCTCTGTACAATGTATAGAATATGCTGCAGGGAACTGTTATATTTTTTTAAAAATGCCATTTTCATAATAAAAAAAAAAAAAAAAACAGCATGGGGTCCCACCTGAATCCATACTAGACCCTTTAGTTCTGGTAGGAAGGTTAGGAGGGACCCCACAGTAAAAACATAAAACAAAAAAAGCGTGGGGTGCCTCATAAAAGTCATACCAGGCTCTTTAGGCCTGGTAGGACTTTTAAGGGGAACACCACCTCCCAAAAATGAAAAGGGAAAGTGCACGGGGTTCCCCCTAAAAGCCATACCAGGCCCTTTAGCACTTTTAAGGGGAACCCCACCCCCCAAAAATGGGGGGAAAAGCTTGGGGTCAAGGGCCTCTTCCCCACAACTCTGGCCCGGTTATGGTGGGGCTCTGTGGGCAGGGGGGGACATTAGCATCAGGGTACCCCTTTAAATAAGGGGACACCTTGATGCTGCCCCCCCTTGTGAATGAGTAATGGGTACTTGTACGCCTACCCATTCACTAAAGGGTTAAATTTAGAAAAAATAAAGATGCCAGACTTTTTAAAAATTCCTTTATTTGAACAAAAAACAAGAGTATTCTCCCCTCTGTCTTCGGTAGTGTCCAGCAACACACTGCATAAGGCTGCAGTAAAAGCAGCCTTATATAGTGTAGGGCATGGACTTAACTGTGAGCCATGATTGGCCAAAGTCACTGTGATTTGGCCAATCCTGGCTCCCACAGTGCATTGTGCTGTGATTGGCCAAAGCATTGCACCTGACCTGTGGTCAGTTGTATTGCTCTGGCCAATCATGGCTCTCACAATGCACTGTGAGAGCACAGTGCATTGTGCGGCGCTTTGTAGGCAAACAGCCCGCCAAATGCCCTTACCGTTCGTGTGTTCGCCGAAAACACAAACTAACGATAATCAAGTCAAACGTAAGTTGAACATCGAGTCGAACACTAACCAATAATACAACATGAAGCATTTAAGGTATGTCCGGGCAGAGTGATAATGCATATTAATAATTCCAGAAGTTCGTATTTCCAGGCACAGTGAACTCTAATTTAGGTCAGCATCTTCTTTTGCACGAAGGTAGCGTTTCAACAGTGCCCTTTGCCATTGATTTGCGAATGATGCTCCTAAGGTGTCTCTTGTAAGTTTAATGGAAGTGTTCATTAATATTCCACCATAAAATAAATTTTTACTGTTGAGAGGCACTGGCTTGTAATAGTCAAGTAGATTTCTACTATAGTTCATCTAAATCACATAATAATCTAAAGCAAGCATATGTTCATAAAATAATTAATAGTATTATTTTTTTTGTGTTCTCTTCCTTTTCATTTTTAGCTACACAGCCCTAAATAGATAGTAAAGATAGTAACGCTTAATTACAAAGAACTTTCTTTAGCACTTCTTATAATGTAAATGTTTTGGTACAGTCATGCAAATACATTCTCTAACACCCCAGTTGCACTGGGTGCGACTTGGCATGCGATTTGCATGCCATGCGACTTGCAAATCGTATGCCAAGTCACACCCTATTGTTCGCAATTACAGTGGAGCCTCACCGATTTCTGAAGTAGTACATGCACTACTTATCGTGTGATTTTCATAGACATTTGTGTTAAATGTCTTCCAAATCACATCTGAAATCGCCATGTCCCTTCACTGTAAGTCGCACGATTTCAAAGTTGGGCTTGATTTGACCGGGGTGTAAGGCCAATAAAGGCACTATACAGTAACCTTTACATACATTTGTACTGGTTAAGAAAATATTAGCACCCAGAGAAACAACAAGCAAACAAGCACGCACACTTAGCCCCGGTTCACATATATACGGCCGTGCGGGCCGCGTTTTGCGCAGGCATGATAGCCCATTCATTTGAATGGACTCCCGTGACAGGCAGGGAAGAAGTCCCTGACCTTCTTCCAAAAACGCAGCTGCATGGATTTTCGTTCGGATCCGCAGTGGCACAACCCGCACAGATGTGAACCTAGCCTTACTGCAGATAAATCTGTAATCAGAATGGAACCCTGGAATTTGGAACCCTGGAATGGAATTTAAAAGGCAATAGTTATAGGCAATAATCAATATTTGCTTTTGACTTTTTTTTTTAAATATTGAATACAAATTATTAGGATAATAATTTAACTTTTCAAAATAAAAACTATTGTGGCTCATGTTTTAAAAATACTATATGTATATGATTTATAAAAATGCTGTAATAAAAACATTAAAATTAATCTTTGCAACTTTAACCACAGGGCAAATTTACAACAGCAAGCGACGTGTGGGCATTTGCAGTTACTTTATGGGAAATGCTGACTTTTTGTCGGGAGCAACCCTACAGTGAAATGTCTGATGAGCAAGTGATTGAAAACACAGGAGAATTTTTCCGAGACCAAGGAAAACAGGTAACAGAGAAAAAATGTAAATCAAATAGCTCAATATTTAAGTGGATGCATCATCTATTTTTTGAAGCTAGCTCTATATAAGCTTATAAGCCTTGCACTAAAAAACTTTAGGGACCATTCACAATATTTGTTGTGCACATTTAATAATGCAATGTTCTTTTGATTGTTGAGAAATACGTACCTGCAGCATTTTAGCAACATGGTGCAACATAACCAATGCTCTTTACATTGAAGGATTGTACTGAGATTATGCTGGCAGCTACATGCATTGAGGTGCCAATATAAATGGCACAGCACATATAGGTTACGTATGTTGCAGTGCCGCATTGTAAAACATGCATTTTGGTGTGCATTACCACAATGCATTAGTTTATCTGCAGTATACAGTATATCTAGCTGGCTGCTAGTATTAGGAGACTTAAAGTGATACTAAATGTCCTTTTTTTGTAAAATAACAACCATGTTATACTTACCTGCTCTGTGTAGTGGTTTTGCACAGAGCAGCCCCCATCCTCCTCTTCTCGGGTCCCCCGCAGGCTCTCCTGGCTTCTTCATTCTGTCGGGTGCCCTCATAGCAAACAGCTCTGTATGTCCATTCATCCATTCACACACGGAGCCGTGGCTTGGCCGCACCTCCTCTCTCTCCTCATTGGCTGGCTGTGATCGACAGCAGCAGGAGCCAATGGCTACCGCTTGCTGTCTCAGCAAGGCAGAGACCTGGTACAGCCAAGGCTGTCGTGCACATTGCTGGATCTCGATGGGGCTCAGGTAAGTATTGAGAGGGCTGGAGGCACTGCTGCACACAGAAGGTTTTTTACCTTCATGCATTTTTTAGCGTATGTACTCTCCAGCGCCTCAAGATATGCACAGCCAAAAGGGAAGCCAAGGGTACCAAGACAGCGACAACCAAAAGGAAATGTTCCAGGGGTGCAGCCCTCCTCAGACGGGGAAATCAGCCACTGGATAGAGAGAAAAACAGGTGGCGCACACACCTAGTGCATTATCCAAGGTTTATTGTAGGAATTAAATCATAAAAACATACTCACAGACGAAGCATGTATCTAAAAAGCATAGAAAAATGACAATGGCCACAACGGCAGGCAAGGTGTTCTCACTGTCAGTGCGGTCAAATGGCTGACGCGTTTCGGGGACGAATCCCTTTCCTCAGAGCTGATGACCAACCTCTGATGCTGATGCATGATGAATGGAAAGTAAAGTGAGAGCCCTGCTGTTGATGCCTCGACATCTGATGCCTCGACATCTGACAGTGAGAACACCTTGCCTGCCGTTGTGGCCATTGTCATTTTTCTATGCTTTTTAGATACATGCTTCGTCTGTGAGTATGTTTTTATGATTTAATTCCTACAATAAACCTTGGATAATGCACTAGGTGTGTGCGCCACCTGTTTTTCTCTTCATGCATTTTTACCTTGATGTTTGTAAAGGCTCAATTCAACCTTGAGCCTTTATAAACAGTTTAAGCCAGCCAGGACAGATCAAAATGCGGCTGGTCCAGCAGGAATGGGACAAATTTCGATTCAACTATGGGCAGGCTGGTTGTACTGAAAGTATAACTAAAACCCAAATTTGTTTTGTGGAGATGAATTAGAACACCTGTCAGTTTTTATTGTTGTCTGTGCCCCATTAATTAGATTCATTCCCTCTATTTGCCCTGTTTACCATTATCATTAAAAGTGAAAGTAAAAGAAAGTACCAAGTTTTGGGTTGTCCTAAGACAAGTAATAGAAGGGAAATGTTGTAGTGGGGACACTAATTCTGGTGACCCGGGGGTCCCAAAGAAATCCCCTTAAAAGCGGTAGTAAACCGCAGTAAAGGGAAAAGAAAAGTCCCCTGCAAGGTAATGTCATGATGTGCTAGCATGCATCACATACTAGCACATTATGTAAAGCTTACCTTAAAACGAAGCCCTCCAGTGGCGCGCTGTCACTGCTGTAGAGGCTTCCATGTTCACCCATCTTCAGTGGATAAGATTATCTTACTTTATAATCTTATTTTGTTCCACACAACAAATTATCTTATACTTCTACACGACAGAAAGAAAAAGCAAAAGACAGATAAACCAGAATCTGCTCCATAGACTCATTAACCTTTTGATAACTTCCCAAAAGTTATCTCTTCACTGTTCTACCAAAGGACAGTGTGTTCTACCAAAGAACAATTTCTTTTATGTTCTACCAAAGAACAATCTGTGTTTTACCAAAAACACTCTTTTTTTATAGTGCACTATTTTGTAACTCTACCAAAGAGTTAAGTCTGCTTACCAAAAGCAGCTACAGGTTATCACAGGTCTATATAGACAATACAGAATGATTCAAGACCTTCCCTCAACACAGGGCACGAAAGAGCTTTTAGCCATAAAAAGACAAAAGGTTTACTTACCAAGTACTGCAGTGGGTGGTCATCCCAGACGAGCCCCCAGCTGAAAGGATTGATTTTCTTTATCCCCTCAGAGACCCCCGGGCTGTGGAGAGATTCCTGGTTTATCAGCAGAATTCTGGGAACACCCCTTGAACACGGAAATAACGGCAGCTTATGTTCAGAGATGTTCAAAGTTTATTAGACATTACTAAGATTATATAGGAAACAGAAAAAATAAGGGGGGGTGGGGAGTGAGTTTCAAAACTGTAACTTGTAAGTTTCCATCATGAGCTAACTACATGAAACATGACATATACATTTCTTGGTATAAACTGTTTTTGCTAGCTTTCTGAGAATTAGCCGGACAAAGAAAGTTTCAGGGTCATGTTATCTTTTGTTTATACATCCTTGAGCAACTGAAACAGTTTTATTAAACGTCTAATATATCTGCAAAAACCTAACTTAATACTTAAAATGGCATACATCAACAAAATGGAGGTTATCTAGATCCTTTCAATCATGTCTTTAAAAGACATGTCTTTAAAGACATGCCTTTGTGCACTTGAACTGAATAATTTGGATTTTTACTGTGGTATTTCTGTTATTCTCCTCTCTGACTCCTTCAGATGTCTTCCTTTCCATGTATCTCTCATCCTTTTTGTGTACTAAAATAATTGTAATATTAATGATAATTATAATACATCCCTGATTTTATATCTTGTTAGGTATACCTTCCTCAGCCAGTCATTTGCCCAGATCCAATTTACAAACTCATGCTAAGCTGCTGGAGAAGAGAAACTAAAGATCGCCCAAGCTTTCAAGAAATCTATCAACTTTTGCAGCAGTCTGATGTAGAGGATTAATCACTGAGGATCAATATTACTCAACAAGTAATTTGCAATGAAATTTGTGTAAAAAAGACATTTGAGGGAGTCATTACATTGGCTGAGAATAATGATGGACTCTAGGGAATATAATTCTACACTTCCTCTCAAAATAAACATGATGTGCTGAGATATGTAAAATAACATATTTAAACATGCTGTATAAAAAAGTAAACTGATTCACCTGGTTCAGAGTTTGACCCAGAATTAGCTGCAAACCAGAATTTTCACTCCTGTATACTGCTTTGTAGCTTTTCCAGACTCTGTTGTCCATTCCTGTCCTGTCCAACAGCCAAAAGGAGAGGTTATGTCATAATACATAGACCTTATTCAAAAGTACTGCAAGAGTCCATGTTTATCAGAGTCTCCACCACTAGCTTCAATGCTTCTCATTCCTATCCTTCATCATTATCATCATCCTCAGCTTTGTGTTGCAATGTTCTACTAACAACAGCTGTCCCTTCATTTTACATTTCTCACTTTACTAAATACAATCCATTTTCTGTATGGCAAACCACACTGTAATTATTTTTTTATTATTTCTCTTTTCTTTATGGATTAAGGTGATAACAAGGTCACTGTCACACACACAGAATATTCAATGTCTGTTTTGTGCTTGTCCTCTGTGTGCCTAAGTAACTATGATCACCAGAGATCTTTTTTTCTTGAAAAGGGACTGCCAGTTTAAACATTTGTTTTGCTGCTGCTTGGCTTAAAGTGATTGTAAAGGAATTTTGTTTAGTAACAAACATGACTTATCTACTCCATGCAAATGTTTTGCACAGAGCAGCCCCCCATCCTTCTCTTCTGAGCTCTTATGGCTTCTCCCCCCTTTCAAGCCCCCCTCATAGAAAGCTGTTTGCTATGGGGCACTTGTGTGACTCAATCCAAAGCCAGGCTCTGTGTGTTCATTGTCACACACACTGCGGCTTGACCCTGCCCCCTGCACCCTCCTCATAGGTGACTGACAGCAGCAAGAGACAATTTCTCCTACTGCTGCATTTATGTCCAGTGAGGAGGGAGAGAGAGCCACTGCTCTATGACACAGTGCTGGATTGAGATCAGACTCATGTAACTATAAGGGGAGGTTGGGGGGGGGGGGGGGGGGGCTGAATACAGAAGATGTTTTTACCTTTTCTGAGCTCAGATCAAACATGTTTGAATCCCAGGTACATGTATTTTAAATTATAGTGATTAATTCACTACCAGTGATTGGTGAAAGTCAGGTTCACTGCTTTATTACTACTGTATGTCCCAAACTTTTCTAGTACACACAGAGGCCACACATAGGCCACAGTGGCAAAGATGTGATTTATTATTCTTGCAGTTTCATATTGACATCCCCAGCACTTTTCTTTTTAGTAGTACATTTAAACTATACTGTATATAATTGTCTAATTCTCAACACCCAATTTGTGGATTGTATTTGCTTTTAAAGCCAAACTACAGAAATGTAAAAAGATACCAAGTAATTCTGTTAAATTCTCTTTAAACAATCTAAATTTACTTTTAAAAGGAATGACTGTAAATACCAAAATTTGCCTTGATATCAGCTACCTGAAATCCCTTGCAAAGCAGCACTCAGACTGTGAGGGGGAAGGCCAGTACTTGTAGCCAATCAGTTTCTGCTGCAAAGCATACGTGCTAACAGAAAACAGGGCGACAGAAGAAAACTGCAAAAAAATCCAGGGAATTAACTCATTAATATGATTCTGTTACTTCACTCTTCAATCCGATTCAACTGTGTACTTGCCAGAAATCACATCATAATTCATAATCAGTGTTCCATTCCAAGCCATATATTATCCTAAAATAACA